TTCATAAGTCAAATAAGTAATTATTCATAACTTACGAGTCAACATTAACTTTGACGACGTAAATGAAATAGTTAATATTCATAGTTTAATAAATTACTCAACCACTTCAAATTTTTAATTTGAATATTTCATATAAAAACAAAATCATTTAATTAAAGAAACATTATATGATTTATAAATATACTTATTATTCACATATATTTTTAAATAGACGAGAAAAATTTACAACTTACCTATAAATTCGACTTTAAAAAATTCGATTGTGTTTTTTATTCCAAACAATCTGATTGACGATAAATTTTTCTTAGAACTTGAATTGAAAATTTGAAATTCAAAATCCCTTCTCATTTTAGTTGCCATAAAATTAGGTTTAATTCAAAATCTCTTCCTAATATAAAGGATTTTGTTAAAATTGAATTTCAAAAATATCTAATTACATGCTTCTATCCATATCCTTAAATGAAGGATTTTGTGCCGTTTTAAAATTAACAAACCTATTGGAAATTACAAAAACCATAATGAATTTCCATTTTTTTTTGTTTTAATCTGCACGAAATTCAAAAGGGTTTAAGAATTTCAAATCAATTGAAATTCATCTCTTTAATTATTTTCCATAAGTTTCAAAATTTTACAATAATTATGTCAAATTACAAATGCATTGAAAATCAAGAGGATAATTTTGAAAATAGACAATTTTTTTTACCCAAAATTGTCTTAGTCTCCGTTCAATAAATCTACATAAAGCGTGGAATTTTATGTCTACAAAATTTCTTTTCACATTAACTAAAAAATAATAATAATTTTGAAACTTTTGTGCTCAAATTACTTAAAAGAATAATAATAATAATTTTCAAAATTTTTGTACTCAAATTACTCAAAAGAATAATAATAATTTTGAAATCTTCTATACTCAAATTTTACGGTAGTATCGTCATTATTTTCAGCACCATGTCAATATATATTTTATATATACTAGGTAAATTTTCTTTCAAAAACTTTATAATCTATTTATTTAGGCTTATAATATTTTATCATATCATATTCAGCAAACATCTTTCATACAATTGTAAACTTTAATATTTTTAGTTATATTTTCTTTACAAAATAGTTAGAAAAGGTGTAGGTGACTTCACATCTTTTAATAATAATATAGAAAATTTTAGATTATTTTACATATGTTAATACAATATTTTAGAAGTTTTTAGTTGTTTAAATATACAAATTTTATGTTCTCTTGAACAATCTAATTTTATATAGTTTATAATAAACTGATATACCGTAAATTATATGACATGTTAACCCCACATCGTTAACTTATAATTATTATTTAATATCGTTTACCCTCATCTTAAATTTATAATATATTTTCTTGCTCTTTTAAGAGATGATCAATAGTTGTTCCCACTTCTTTCATTGGGTGACTCGAACTCGATATTTATTTATAATTATTATTTAATATTGTTTACCCGTGCATCGCACGGGATACGCACTAGTATATATACAATCTAACTCCAATTTTTTACTAGAGCTAGCTTGTACCATTGGCCTCTTTTTAAGGGTACAAGCAATAAATTAACTTTGAGTGCAGAATTAGCGGGTCTCCCATTTTTTAAAAATATATGAAATGTCCTGACTTGGTCATGTCAACAAAATTGAGTATTATACACGATTAATCAATAAAATATACCAAATCACAGCAAAAAAAATAAAAAAATAAAAAAATAAAAAATAAAAAAAATATTTGAACTTGCCTTCTGACTCTCAAGGAAACAAGACTATAGTTTTAAACGACCCAACTTGAGCTTGAGTTTTTGATACTCGAGTTTGACTCGCAAAATTAACAAGTTGATAAACGAGCTCGAACTTATTTCATTGATGAGCCAAATTTAAATCTTAACAAATTGATTTACGTCAAAAGTTAAAAAAATATAAAAAAATAAAAAAGTTATAGACCTCCATTTATAAAGTCTAGCTAACCATAACAAGTTTGGCCATTCGTTTATCAAAAGAGCCGATCGAACATAGCACATAATAAAGATAATGATAATATAATAATAATATAAAAGTGTTGGTGAAAGCGACGTGCAATCATCCTCCCCACCGTCTGTCTATAAATGCTTCAAAACTATACAAAAAGAAAGACTTCAAAATCATACAAATTAAAATTTAAAGCTTACACCAAGACGACGAACACACAAATAAATAATACCCACATCCAAAAATAATAAATTACAAAAATGCCCTGTCTCGACATTTCCACTAACGTTGACCTCGCCGGAGTCAACACCGATTCCCTCTTTTCCGATCTCACTAAAGCTGTTTCGCAGATCGTCGGAAAACCTGAAAACGTACGCTTTCTTTTATCTCTGCTAAATCACTGTAAAGTTTGAATTATTGTAAATTTTTTTATTTTATTTTCTAAGTTTGTTTACGCCATAGTTGAAAATTGAGAAAGCATTTTCAGATGGAAAAAAATAAATTAATAAAGAGAAACATTGGAATATGGGCATATGAATATATTTCATTATTCATTACTTTTGACTCGCATACGTGATACGTGATACGACCCAATATATTTTTCTTTTTCCTTTTATTTTATTTTGTTTGGCATTATAAAACAAAATTAGTGTACAGACTCGTTTACTAATCTATTTTTACTGGGTTCTTTTTGCTATTGTTTTCACTTTTTCTTATCTCGTTTAGTGCTTTTTTTTTTTATCTGTTAATGAATGTTGTAACATTATTATATGGTCTGGAATAAAACTTGGGCTGCTGATATCACTTTTAATTTAGCTAAACAAATGGGTTGGTAATTTGTACTGAAATAATTAGCGATTGGCCACACTTAGAAAAGTTCAATAAGTATGATCGCATGCACAGTATGGCCCAACTATTGATCATTGTTCTAAAAATCGTCCTAGGCGGTCGTGTATGCGTTAGGCGGTGCCCGAGCGCCTCCAATTTGCGCAAAATCGACAGAAAAAATCGACCAGGCGGATTTGGCGGGTTCGGCCGCCAGGCGGTTAGGTGGCGTCTAGGCGGGCATAGGCGGACCTAGGCGCTCCTAGGCGAATTCGGCGGCAATTTTTCAGTTCTTTTT